CCGTTATTGAGTAATTTCTACGTGTTTGTGCATCGCTGTTGTCCTTCGGCCGACATAACACACTTGCATTGCCTTCATGTAGTTGGCAAACAAGATATTCAATCTTCGTCAGTGATTTTCACTCCGCTTTAGACATAGGGCGAGGGTTACGTTCCAAGGCTCCACTCTGGAATAATAACAAGTCAAGAACACGCTTCAGTCACATCGTAGGCAGGGCATTACAACAAGATAAACGTTATTACTTCTAACGTAGTAGGGAATTTCTTGCACACAAACCTGCACAGAAAACAATAGCGGACGATGAGGCGACATCACCGGAGGTTTTTGCCGAGCTCACTATATTTCGTTCTAGCTGAAGTCCAGACTTATTCGACGCTCTTGCTTAATGACAAATACGCTCCGACCAAAAGAGCAAGGGTCTTATCTGTTTATGATTAGTTAAGCGATGTAGAACACGTACAGAAACATGGCGAACACACTGCCACCCGCTGGACCAAGAAAGCAACGTTCGGTCACGGACTTCAGGAAGATTCGCGTGTATTCTTGCTCCGGTTGTAACTTTCGTCCTGCTTTCTTGTTCTCGAAAGTGCCTGTTCGTTGTCGCACCAAGCGTGCAACCTCGAACCTTGTTTGCCGAATATTCTAGATGGTGACGCGCACTTGAAAAGAAGCTGCGCGGGACCTTGTCGAGTCAGTCTCGCTCTCGCTTGCTGTTAGGCCGCCAAATTGCCGCCCGGCTTTCTGCTGCCTCGACGCTCGTTCTATATGTTGTTTCGCAAAAGTTCGCCGATTAAACCTTTATTTTCCCTTCACCGGTCATCCTCTTGTCGCCTTCATTCCTGACATTTATAATGGAGGCGCAGGGTACCACAGCCAATGAAATGCACCCCTTCGAGGCCTCGCAGCACAAGCCCAGCCACCGGCTCAAAAATATCGTCTGTAGTGAAAACAGAGACCAGAGCAAGCCGCCGCACTTAAGATCAGCCCCCGGAATTCGGACTTCTGCCGGAACCCCAGAGGAAAAAAGTGAAAGCCGTTTACAAATCCCTGTAACGCCGAATTGGAGGGCAGCTCGTGAGGAGAAGGAGGGAAGGGTACTGAGGGGAGGGTAGGCCCCTCCTCCTCCTCCTCCTCCTTCTCCTCTTCCCCTCATTCTTTAATATGCTCCAGGGGCTCATTTGACCTCGGGGGGAGGGGGTCACGTGACCTCGTGGGGGGGTGTCACGTGACTTCGGGGGAGGGGGGTCACGTGACCTCGGGGAGGGGGCCACGTGACCTCGGGGTGTCAAGTGACCTTGGGGGGTCACCTGGGGCCACCTTGGAGGTCACATGACCTTGAGGTGCCCTTGGAAGGGGTCACGTGACCCTGGGGAGTCACGTGACCCTTGGGAGGGGGTCAGGTGACCTTGGGGGTAACGTGACCTTAGGAGGGGTCACGTGACCTCGGGGGTCACGTGACCTTGAGAGGGGTCACATGACCTGGGGGGTCACGGGACCTTGGCGTGACCTGGAGGTCACGTGATCTTGGGGGTCACGTGAACTTGGGAGGGGTCACGTGACCTTGGGAGGGGTCCCGTGACCTTGAGGATCACATGATCTTGGGAGGGGTCACGTGACCTTGGGGGTCACCTTGGTTGCGCCGACGGCGACGCCGAAGGTGACGCCGCTGAGGCCGGAAACGGGCGCCTAAGAGCTGCGCTCTAAAAGTGAACGAAAATAACTATGAGCTCCCGGGCTTGGAAACTGAAACTCTCGCCACTTCCTCCCCCGTCGTTTACCTGCCTGTCGCCTCTGTACGCTCACGCCCTTCCACAGTGAGGTCCCCCAGTTAAAAATAACCATTGGGTCCAATTAGTTATTGACAGTTAGAACCAATGGGGAATCCTAACTGTGATTTCGGACTCCTAGTTAGAAAAAGTCAATTGGTTCCAATTAGTTGTTGACAATTAGAACCAATGGAGAATCCTATCTGTGATTTCGGGCTCCTAGTTAGAAAAAGTCAATTGGTTCTAATTAGTTATCGACAATTAAAACCAATGGGGAATCCTATCTGTGATTTCGGACTCCTAGTTAGAAAAAGTCGATTGGTTTCAATTGTCGAAATCTAATTGAACATCACCAATTCGAACCAGTTTGGCATTGTCAATAGGATGCAACCAATTGGAAAAAACCTATTTCTGTTTTCGGACTCCCAATAGGAAAAAAAGCAATTGGTCCAACTGTTCAAATCATATTGACATATATGAATTGGGACAACCATTAGTGTTTGGATATCCCAAACTAGAAAACGTTGCAACTAGATCTAAAGGTAGATAATCACACAGTCTTTATTTAACTTATTAGAAATGATTTCTTGCTTCTAGGCATCGTCGTTTTCTTCCAGGATAGCAGCTGCAGCTTCCCTAAAATAAAGGATAAATATGCATTAAATGACCTTATTGGATTATAAATGTTTGAATCAAGCTTAGAAACATACTAAACTTTTTTTTTTTCGCTGCAAAGAAATTAGTTGCAGTGGTATCAACCTGCAGGCCTTGCATTAAAAGGCAAACATCCCTGGGTGACGGAAACACTCTGGTCAAAATTAGGAGATGAAGCTTTTGCCGAGACTGGGCTAAATTTGCATCTGGGATGGTTTAAGACTACTATGTTTCCTATGAGCCTGTGAGACATAATCTCTGCTATAAGGAGAATAAACAGTCAATTCAAAGGCATCTCTGTAAAGCTGGCCAGTGCACCTGAAATATGTTTTCATCCATGCGCACTTTAAGCATAAGTGTCTTTCGTATCTCGAAAAGAAATCGTGCATTGCAGGCTGTGTTACAAATCTTACTCGAATGGATCAGAGGCAACGCAAGACGCGGGTAGGTTTTTGAACTTACCCTGAGTGGAGACAGAGTAAATTTTGAAACATAGCTGCAAATAGTCCGCCGGATGAGATGCAAAATTTTCGGCACCTACTGTTACTTTATTAGAAGTCATCAACTTCCGGAAGTAATGACCCGACATCACCGACCGACCGACCCCCCCACCCCACTTCCCACTCATCGAAAATGCCCCCGAAATCGCTTAATTTTGAATCCCAAAGCTTCAATTTTTGAAACTGTGCCCAGTCAGTGTTTTCAGCAATTCATGGTTTAGTTCTGAGATGCTTAAAACGCACTTAACTTTCCTCGCGGATACCGAACAACTTCCGAACTGATAGCTGCCCGGAAAATTTTCTTCTCTAAAGCTATACATTCACGCTCGCATCGTTCACTGAAGATCAAACAACGAGTGTCTCAGCAGATCTAACAATCCGAAATCCCCAAACTGCAGCGCAGCAAGGACAAAGAAAATTTTTTACCTTGGTCCCATAAACGTTTGTTGCCACTCATTCGCGCCCTAACAAGCTGGCAGGTCAAATGAAGTAATTATCACCGCACCATTGAGCACTCTGCAGCAGTAAAACACAAAAAAACGTTCTTGAATCATTGCCATAACCATGCTACGAATGCCGTGCACGCCATCGGCGCCATGTGCTTCGTGCTTCCTCCGTCCTCGCGGCGCCATCTTTGCCGCCCAGTGTACACCGACGCTGCCGGCAATTCCGACTAATTCTAAAAACAGTGATATTGTAGTGAGTGCGCAGGCGAGCTGGTGGAAATTAACCATTCTGATGTTAGCCTGAGACTGAGGCAGGAAAAGAGGAAGTTTCAAAGTAGAAGAAAAAGGAACAGTCGAGGATACGTCTCTAACACAGCTAAAGACAAGTTTATTCGGTCACCCTCTTATATACACTCCACAATCTTCACCACAGAACCTTCGCGACCTCCAAAGCCAAAAGATAACAAAGAACTCATCTCTTTCCACCACAATAATCAAACGTCCTTGACAATCCTACAAAGCCCCCTCACCAACACAACCTAGCTCCTCTCTCCCGGAAGACGATCGACCTTCGCGTACATAGCACACCCTCCTCCTCTCCTCCCCGGCCCACAATCCCGAAACAACCCGGCAACAAAAGATACCAATCCACCTGATCCAAACCGAAGACACAAAGGAGGAAACCACTTACACCCTTTCACAATCAACAACCACTTAACAAAACTCTCAAATCCGCAAGAAGGTTTTTGCACTGCTGCTAAGCTGTAACGACACTTGACTAATACAGTTGCCCATTGATTTCATTCTTATTGTTTCCTTTACAACCCTTTTGATGTCGTTTACTTCCCTGTGTATTATTTCTGTTTCGGACCAGCGTGGTATACAATTATTACATTCTTGAACATGTTTCGCTATTTCCGAATCAGTCGCGTTGTTTTTGACATTTCTTTTGTGTTCAGTCAATCTATCATTTATACACCTCGACGTTTGACCCACATACTTAAAACCACATTCCAGGGGAATTTCGTATACCACTCCATTATCACACGGAATAGACTTTTCTCGATGCATTTTTGTGCATTCCCTTACACTCTTGTGGAAGGGCGTGAGCTTACTCAACTTATAGTCAGAACTAAAAACCAGATCAACATCGAATTTTTTGGACAAGCCTTCAAGTTGTGAGAAATTTTGTGATAGTACGGAATTACAGTAGTTCTGTGTTTTGGCCTTTGCTTTGGCTCTCCTCCACATTTGTCTGCGAATTTTACGGATAACTGCTTCCCTACGAATTCATCCTGATAACCAGCACTGTTTAGCCTTCTCCACTGCCTTTTCACTGATTCAGCCAAGAAATGAGTACATGATCTGTCCATTGCATTTGTGATTAAAGACTTGACAATACCTGCTTTGACTGTTTTTGAATGGCAACTGTTTTTTGATAGCAGCGGTTTTGCGTTTTCTTTTCCATATTCCCAACATAGCCCTTTTTCATTGTGAATCATAAGCTCTAAAAACTGCAGTTTACCATTCATGGGTCGTTCGACTGTAAACCTCAGTTCCGGGGCAGCCGATCTGATCAATGCTTCCAGAGTGTCGGATAATCCCTCCCGAAAAGAACAGATCAAATTGTCATCGACATATCTTTTCACAAAACAGGATTCCGACGTCAGTTCTTGCAACTTATCAGATACAATGCAATCCAAAGAATTTAGGTAGATTTCCGCTAACGCCGGTGCTACACTCGACCCAATGCATACTCCCTCTTTCTGTAAATACTTTTTTCCTTGATACTCTACTATTGTTGACTGCAAGTAATAATCAAGAACGGCAAGAAAACTGTCCACCGATATGCCTGTCCGCGATTGGAACCTTACCAAATTCATTTCAAGCACCCCTTTTACCCTTTCCAACAAACGACTCTTCTCTAATGAGTAATAAAGATCCTTGATGTCCATTGACAACATATCTCCTTCCTTTCCATGATGACCTTCGAGTACCGTGACCAACTCACTCGAATTTCTCAGTGACAAAGACTTATCTAGAATTGCATGATTTAAACCTTTTTGAAGAAACACGGAAACTACCTTCTGCCAAGTGCCATTCTCATTGATCACCACTCTAAGTGGCATCTCCGGTTTATGATCCTTAATGAAGAACTTTACGCTCAACGATGATTTCGACAGATTTACCAAGGTCTTTGCTACGTCCTTAAATTCGTCTTCCTCTAAAATTGAAACTATATTTTTCTTTAACTTTCCGATGTTTCCACCCCATTCTTGAAACAAGGATTCCATCGCTTCACCTGTTTTCGTTTGAAATGACGATTTTGAAAGAACCGCGAATCTACCGGATTTATCCGTTTGTAGCAATTGTAATGACCGATCCTCTAACTCTTTTCTAACCGAGCTGACGACACGAAAATCCCTTTTCTCATTTGGGTATCCAATCCCCATTACGTTTTCCATTCTGCCAACAGCCTGTTCAATAAACGCCGCTCTTTCTTCATGCCTGACTATTCTCGCAACTGACTGTATAGAAGAAAATACATCCACCCTTGACGGTTTTACATCAATACAAAACTTCGGTCCGTTTTCCAACACTGCTTGCGTCTTCCTTGATAACATTACGCCACCCGGATTGATAACAGAACCTCCACACATCCGATCGAAAAAACTAAAAACCCGTGAGTCTCTATCCCTTCCCTCCTGAGATTTCATCTTAATGCTATCCAGAACATGCCTTCGTTTGACATACCACATACGGTTGAAAACTGTCCTCCTGATGCTGTTCCAAATGATGTAGTCCCTGTGCCGCTTGAAATCACCTCCCACCAGGAGCTCCCAAAGTCTTTCGGAAGCGCTGCGTATTTCTTTGATCCGGTGACTTGAGGCTTCTCTGTACGCCTTGAGGATCCTCTTCTTGCCGCTCCAAAGGTCCCCCGACGCTGACAGATGTTTGAATGCAGCTGGGTCCACGAACCTTTTTCGGAGGCAGATGCCGAAATATGCAACCTCGGCCTCCAGCTCCGCCAGTCGACGTCCCAGTCGGTCCAGTACTTCTACTGCTTGAGAAATCCAGGCGGTCGGTGTCGTTGATGATGCGGTTGTACATGAGAAGGGGACCAAGCCTGCTTCAGGTATAATCAATGATATTGTAGTGAGTGCGCTGGCGAGCTGGTGGAAATTAACCATTCTGATGTTAGCCTGAGACTGAGACTGAGGTCTTTTCCTGCCTCAGTCTCAGGCTAACATCAGAATGTCTAAAAACAGATTTTTTTATTTTTATTTTTTTATTTTTTTTTTGTTTTTATTTTTTTTATTAAATAGTGTACGAATTTTTTTCCCCTTTCAAATTGCGATGTTGAAAAATTTTTTTGCAACGCAATACTGAAAAAAAACAAAAATAAATAAATTGCGATCTTTGGAAACTGTGGTAAGGAAAAAGATAACGGCAAGTTCTGTCCCAGTGCCAATTGAATTTTATTGATCCCAATCGGAGATCAATCATAAAGTTGGAAACATTGAATCCAATTAGAGTGACCAATTAGGTGACCCAGCGCCAAATGAATTTTATTGATCCTAATTGGGATAACCAGTTGGAAACATTGAATCCAATTGAGTAACCAATTAGGTGGCCCAGTGCCAACTGAATTTTATTGATCCCAATTGGGATGACCAGTTGGAAACATTGAATCCAATTAGAGTGACCAATTAGGTGGCTGAGTGCCAATTGAATTTTGTTGGTCCTAATTGGGGTAACCAGTTGGAAACATTGAATCCAATTAGAGTGACCAATTAGGTGGCCCAGTGCCAATTGAATTTTGTTGTTCCTAGTTGCTGTAACCAATTGGAAACATTGAAACTAATTAGAATGACCAGTTGGATGACCCAGAACTAATTGAATTCCATTAACTCCAGTTGGTTCCAATTGAATATCCTAATTGGAGCCAATGGTTATTTTTAACTGGGCCACGAGGACGTCAATGACTGGATTTAGCACCTTCAGCGCGTGGCACGCCACAACGGATGGACTGCCGAGGGTACTGCAAGGGACTGGTTCGAGAATCACGAGGCTTCGATCACGTCGTGAGACATCTGCGTGGCCGAGTTGAAGCGGACATGTACGAGCCAACACCGACGGCAGCAGGCGGAGGATCTGCTTCATGCACTGATTCATGCCTCCAACGAAAGCGTAACCATATTCGTGTAAGATGTGCTACGCTTAAGTGCACGGGCCGACCCGCAAAACACGGACGAGAAAAAGTTGCGCTTTCTCATGAGAGACGTGAACAGCGACATCTTCGGCAGCCTCGTTCGCATCCCTCCAACGACAGTCGACGGGTTTGTTGCCGAAGCAACAAACGTCGAGCGGGCGCTAGCAGCCCGAACCCACCAATATCATCGGTTCAATGACGTCTCCACTCTGGCATCGGTCCGCTCCGATCTCAGCACCAGCGCCGACGAGCTTCGCGAGATCATCCGGGACGTCGTCCAAAACGAGCTCCGAAAGCTGCTCCCCTCTGCTGAGCGCCCGGCGTCGCTGTCAATTGCCGAGATCGTGCGCCACGAAGTACAGCGAGCCTTGCAACCTGAAACTCCCGTCGACGTGCCAGCCGCCGAGGAACCGACGCTGAAGTAGGCCGCCATGTCCAGGCGACCACCGCAAGCTCCCCGCCATGCTACGGCGCCACCATGACGTGAACCTGCAGCGCCACAGTACTCCCGACGTCGCAAAGAACAGCAGTACATGCGTCCGGAAAAACCAGCACCCGGAAAGACCGACATGTGGAGGACGACCGACCGACGCCCGCTGTGGAACCATTGCGGGGAAGCCGACCCTGTCTACGGCCGTTGCCCGTACTGGCAGCTGGGGCTACGTGGCAACCCCTGGACGTAAAATTGCCGAAGGCAACCAGCGGAAACATCCTTCAATAACGTCGGAGGACGCCCCTTGACGTAGGTAGACATCTGTCTGCCTAGAACAAGATGAAAGAGACTTCCTTAGTAGACGTTAATTCTGGATTTATGTAATCGACATTTCCTTCCCGTCATTTATGTGTTGTGTGCTTTATATATACATATATATATATATATTGTGGTTGTTGCTGTTGGGCTTGATTTCCAATAAAAAGATTTCGTCGTCAGTCAGCGCTGGTCTTGTGTGCTACTGCTTTATTCTATTTAGTTTTTTTTTGTGTGTAGCGGTTCTGTCTTTATCAGTCCCAATCTGCTCCTGAGACTAAGGCGCTGGCGACCCCTATTCCGAAACTCTCTACTTCGTTTTGTTACGCCTGTGCCGTAACGAGTCCATTTATTTATCTTCCACAGGTGTTTCCTCTCAAGGATGAATGGTACGTGACGTACAGGAACTACGGGGATGATCCAGTATTTGGTTCCAACAAATGCTTGAAAGCTACGCAGGAATCTCCAGAAACGGAGGACGGCTACCCAATCGTCCTCAGCTACAAGGGCTCAGAGGAACGTCAGTAAGCCCAAATTCCCTTTAGGAAAAGAGATGCGGCTGTTTCTTTTTATATCCTTATCAAACCGTCATACGTAGAACTGTGCTTTCTGGAGAGCGCAGTCGACACTCACGTTCAGTGTCGGCTTTCCTGACTTTATTTTCGCTGACTTCATGATCTCAAGTGCGGGAAATTGGAGAAAACCTTCTGTACTTCGAACAATTTCTGAAAAAAATCTATTTATACCACATAATTTTATATCTGCATGCAATCGAGCACTAATAGATTCTATCTTACTTTGAAAGGAAAATTCGTTGCGCCGCAATTTTGCGTCCAGATGGGCACTCAAAGCCTAAGCAAATATTTAAGATTTCTCGATTTTTTAGTCAACTTGAAATTAAAATTTGACGAAGAAACTTTTTACTTATTTTTCTAAACACGACTAGGTTGTAATACAATTGTAAAAAGTATTCAGACAATCTTTATTTATATGGCAAATATGTTACTTTCTTCAAAAACGGCCATATATAGAGGGTAAAAAAGGCCATGTGGGCAATGGTGTTCGCATTTTCTGAAATAGCCGAAAGTTCAACCGACCCCAACTGTTGAACATATCGAAAATTTGCAAATTTCTTTTTGTTATTGCGGAGATTTTTTTTTAATAGGGGGCAGAACGGCGTCGCCTTTAGGCTTCCCCCTCGTCGGCAAAGCACGCCGTTCTCCGCCACGGTCAAGTGAAACACTACACACGGTACTTAATTTCGTTAATTATATTTGTATAGATAACGCTGAGAATCTCGATAATATGACATGTCTATTTATAGCGACTAGAGAGTGCATATTTGTTTGCTCTAAACAATATGTCAGGGTGCGCTTGCAAGTTGAATAACGACAACTCGAAATATTGCGTGGGATACGTTTTATCAATCACAAAACAAAGCGTATTTGTTGCTTGCCGGCTTTCTTTTTTTCTTCTTATGCACACAAATATAAAATATATCCCAGAAATGCGGTATCCCATTTAGAATATCAGTGTTTTATTAACTTCAGTTCATGTTATAGGCTAGAACACTGCGCACGACTGGAACATCACCGGTATGATCCGTCTGCTTCAATGTTTTTAAATTCGCCCGCAAAACTTTCCTGCAAGCTGGATGTGGCTGTTATTTTAGCTGCCACGTATGATATTCTTTTGGCACGCTGATTTGAAGGCTTTAAGTTCACTTTAGATGGGCCCAGGTGACGGGAGTGAAAGCCATCGTCTGCTAACCGAGTTTGTGAATGCATACGGTTCGTCAGAATTGGTAGCAGGGCGCGTTTTTACGTTTTGGTCATTCTGCGTTTTCTTGCAAAAAATGAAACAGTGGACGCGGGAGATCGTCAGCGATGCCGAATGATAACGATGATTTGGCTTCCCCTTCAACGAAACGTCATTGTGGTGCAGATGCATCGTGCAACTGAAAAACAGTGAGTGAAACATTGCGAGAAGATGAACATTAAAAATGGATATTTCAGGCCAACTAACATACAAGGGTAATGACACAACAGAAGCATGTTGCGTGATTACCGCTTGTAAAATATATGTCTACCCTATGTAAAAAAAAAAGTGAAAGCTGTTTACAACTCCTTGTAACACTGAATTGGAGCGCAGCTCTTGAGGAGGAGGAGGGAAGGGTACTGAGGAGAGGGTAGACCCCTCCTCCTCCTTCTCCTCCTCCTCCCTCATTCTTTAATATGCTCCGGGGGTCACCTGACCTCGGGGGCAGGGGGTGACGTGACCTCGGGGGGGGGGGGGTGTCACGTGACTTCGGGGAGGGGCGAGGGGGCCACGTGACCTTGGGGGGGTCACGTGACGTTGAGGGGACCTTGGGAGGGGTTACGTGACCTGTGGGGGTCACGTGACCTTGGGGTGGCCTTGGGGGGGTCACGTGACCTTGGCTACGCCGACGGCGTCGCCGACGTCGACGCCACTGAAGCCAGAAACGGGCGCCTAAGAGCTGCGCTCTAAAACGTTTCGTGTTGTGCTCCTATCTAAAGCCCCTAAATATGGGTATTCGTTTACGCTTCCTATCGAGGCCTTATTTGAGTGGCATTTTTACGCTATTTACGCCTCGGAACAGCACCGCTGTAAACATGTAGGGTTAGAGTTGACCAGAAACCATGTCATAACTGATAGTGCATAAGAAAAGAGGCTCATTTTAGAACAGTGTGTTGACATATGCCAACACTATTTTTATTTGCAGCCCCATTGATTCCTCAGCGGATTGCCCCGCAGGGGGCACTTGTGAAAGCAGGTGTTTGGAGAGTGGCGGCTCCACGGTCCCCGAGCCCCGCAGGGGGCACCTGCACCTTAGGTGCTAGGTGCTTGGTGAGTTGCGTCACCACGGACCCCAGCTACGTGGGCCACCATACCCGCACGCAGGGGGCACCTACTTTGGTAGGTGCTTGGTGAGTGGCGTCACTACGAACCCCAAGCCATGTGGGTTCGCCCACCCACGTTTGGCTGTGCGTGGCGTACCCGTGTCCGGGGAAAAGGGGACCCTGGTGGTTGAGCTGAGCCCGGGCTATGTTTCGACCCTTCGGGGCCCCCCGGGCGAGGCAATACACCGCTTCGACCCCTGCTTCTCGTAGACGGGTGTCCTGGTTTGGC